ATTCCCAGCATCAGGCTCTTCTCCAGGGAGTCCTTCCTTCTCATTAGGTGACCAAAGTATTTGAGTTTCATCTTCAGGATCTGGCCTTCTGAAGAGCAGTCAGGGTTGATCTCCTCTCGGACTGACTGGTTTGATCACCTTGCGGTCCAAGGGACTCGCAGGAGTCTCCTCCAGCACCACAATTCAAAGGTCTCAATCCTTCGGCGCTCAGCCTTCCTTATGGTCCAACTTTCACAGCCATACATTGCCACTGGGAAAACCATAGCCTTGACTATACGCACTTTTGTCGGCAGGGTGATGTCTCTGCTTTTTAGTATGCTGTCTAGATTTGCCATAGCTTTCCTCCCCAGGAGCAAGCGTCTTTTAAGGCTCTGGCTAGGGCACGGAAATAAATCTAGCACCCTTTGTACGTTCTCCTGGGAAAAGCAATCTTTGCTTTTCCACCCCCATGTCTCCATGGGGTCCCTTGTGTTTTGCCTCATCCTCCCTGCTGAAAATGCAAAAGCAGCTTAGAGTGGTTGATTTTGAGCTACAAGCGGAGAAAGGGCTTAAATAGTTCCCTCTGCCTTCCTTCATCCCACCTGGGAATCCTGCCCAGGCGCGTCTAGTGCATTGAGTGACACGTGTTGGATGGATCCCAGTTAACCTCACTCTCCTGGAGGACCAGCTGCTCTCCCTTAATATTTCTTTAAAAAATATTCCTACATGTTTCTAATGAATACAAAGGTATGGCAGATCAAATAAAACTCAGGCTCTGACAGGACAATCTTTCCAGTTGGTTACTATGATTATTCTGCACTTAAAAGTCAACTGAGAGCTGTAAAAAGAATTAATCAGCTGTTCAGTTTGGATATGGCAGTGCACTCAATCTTAGACAGAGAATGGATTATGTAGGAGGAAAAATAATGAGCTTAGCAAAATGCCCTTGATTAGGATTTATTTTTCTAGATATCATACAAATGGAATTTTAGTTGTCATGGGCTATTGCTACAACAAACAGAAAGTATAATTTACAATGCAGATTCTGAAATGAAAAGGTCATTTTGGCGTTTTGACATGTTCTAATAATCAGTAGTTAAGTTAAATATACCTCCAGAAAGTACTGTTTCAGGCAAACGGTTCTGCATATGACTTGTCCATGGCCCATGAGGTTTGAAGGAGGATATGTATTGCTATTATTTTTGAATGCAAGCTTTTTTTCTGGGCTTCTCCGTTCACACTGTAATTTGTACGCGTGCATCAAAATGCTCAGAGATCTAACCGTACTAAGCCCATGTGACAACACAGTAGGAGTGCTGGACTTTGTGAGGACTCCTGGGGTCAAATCCCCTTCAACTGCCGCAGTGGGAAACGTGCAGCCACTAAGACTGGTTTGTTCGTGTGCCCCCAGTTGCTGCTGCTGCGGATTCTCCCAGAAAGCATTCAGCCTGCTGCCCAACCGAAGAACCGGCCTGCCTTCTCCAAGATTTCCACTGCTGTGGGTACTTCTGGTGGTGGGGTGCACCCACCTGGGGGATTCCAGGGGGCAATGTGCCACCCCAACTTCCCAAAATTGCCACCTTCAGTCTACAGGGAGACCTTGCGCCAGGATCCCTCTCTCTCTCAGCACAGGGTTCGTGGGACGCTAAGAGGGCCCTGGACTAGGACTGGGCCGATTTCTGCGCCCATGCGTGATGGGGAGAAGACCAATGAGACAGTGCTCCCTGGCTGAAAGCCAGCACCACTCCCCTAGAAGCTGCAGGTCAGAGAACGGGCCCCCCACACACAGGGCTCTCCCTCGGAGCAGGAACGCTGCTTGGCCAAAGGTTCCCAGTTGCATGGAAGAGCAGCAGGTGCGCAAGAGCATCTCTGAGTAGGGGGGACCATGCAGCGACCAGAAGTGCAGCCAGTGAGGCCGGTGGCTGCAGGGGGGGGCCTGGTGCCCAGGCGAGAATTCAGCGAAGGAGGGTGCGCTCCCTTGCAAGCTTTTCCCGTGGGAAAGACTGCTGCGTAAGGTTGCCCCTTTAGTGGGAGATGCCGTTTGCATGCCCCTTATGTGTGTCCCATGGTGTGCCTTGGAGAAGAACACAGCAATAAGAAGTAACAATGAACAGTATTTTGAAAATTTGTCCTGCTCTTCAAAAACGATACAGAAAGGTATTTGTGGGCCTGAAGGGAAATATGTTTTGATGCAAAACGACTAAGTTACTCCTCCTCCGGGCCTTGATTAAAATATTGGTGGTCCTGACTCTGTCTGAGGTTTCCTGCTTTCTCGGGCTGCAGCCACTATAAAGGGAAAGCGGAAGAGGCTCTGGCAGACTGCTCAGCCCCTCCAGTTCAGGGCTGCTTGGCTGTCCTAAAGCTGCTGCTGATTTCCTCGGGCCATCTTTGCCTGGCTCTGCCCCGGCTCCTGCTAAGACCGGCAACGTCTGTTCACCAGCAAGTCCCGTGTAAACAATCTGGCAGAAGGATTAATGTGTGGGACAGTGTTTGGCTTCCTGATTATAAGAAAGGCATGTTTAGGATCAGACACACAGGGAGGAAGTGCCTCATAACTCCTATTCTTTCCAAGGTTTGCAAGCAAACCAGTAAGCTTTCTAAAGGTTATGGAGCTAACGGAGGAGGGTTGAAATGAAAATTTAAAGTGACATTTTGTGGTTACATTTAGCCAGCTTTACAATACTGTACTGTACTGTTCTTGAACAAAACCACTCTTGTTTTGCTGCTGAGGGGAAGAAAGCAAGAATTCTTTCCAGTTCGTCCTTCAATGAATGCACACCCACAGAGCTTGATATCGAAATCATTTGATCAAAAATCAATTTTTCCCTCTTTTTGGAGACCACCCATGGGAGGATGTGCCCCACCTACTAAGTGATAATTCATTTCCAATTAACAGGAGCAGTGGGAGAGGGGGAACGAAGTGGGGGGAGGCAGAAGGACAATCAAAGGAGATAGAAATGGCCCCGTCTACTCACCGCGGCCTTCTGAATGCCAGGCCGTACTGCTGGCAAGCCAAGCCAACAGTTGGGGTGTAAACTATGGGCATGAACCGCTCTATGTCCGACGTGAGAACTCGGTAGAAGAGCTTCTCGTTTCGGTCTTGCAGTGTCATGAGGATAATGTACCTGGGGTGAGGACAGACAGAAATTGAGAAGTCAGTTGCGTTTATGACAGATTCGTTACAATTCATCCTGTTTCCCTTGGAGGTGTCCAAGGCAGTATCCGTGATCCCTCTCTCTTGCATTTGATCCTCACAACAGCAGCCCTGTGAGGTAGGCTGGGCTGAGAGGGAGTGGCTGGCCCAAAATCGCCAGGTCCACGGCTGAGTGGAGACTAGAATCCAGATCTCCAAGGTCCTTCGGCCATAGACTGACACTGAACTATGCTGAAAAGTTTCACAATGTTTGGGCCCTCTCCTCCACTGCTGCTCAAACTCATTATCAAGGGGATTGTGCAGAGCAATTTCCCAGGAATGTGGAAACACCACAGAACTCCCCTTTCTGCCAAGTTCAGCATGCTTTTCTTGTTCCAAAAGCGAGTGCTTGGCCCTTAGGACTGCAGTGAGACGCCAAAGAACAGGGATATTGGTTGCTACACATGCTGCAGAAGGGGGGGGGGCACTGCTAGCAGGGGGAATGGAGCCCTACCGACTTCACTGAAGCCCGACTGGACTTCTGTAATGCGCTCTACGTGGGGCTGCCCTTGAAGATGGTCCGGATACATCAGATGGTGCAAAATAGAGCACCCAGGTTGCCGACGAGGACTGGGCGTTATTCTCACATAACCCCAGTCCTCTAGCAGCTTCACTGGCTCCCCATTGAAGCCCGGGCCCAATTCAAGGTGCTGGTTATCACCTATAAAGCCCGTAACGGCTTGGGACCTGGATACCTAAAGGAACGTTTTCTTCCATATTTGCCCTCTCGCCCCTTGAGATCGGCAGCAGAGGCCCTCCTCTGGGAGCCCTCCGGGAGAGACATCAGGAGGCAAAGTACCTGGAGGAGGGCCTTCTCTGTGGTGGCGCCCCACTTATGGAATGCTCTCCCCAGAGAGGTCCACCTGGCGCCGTCGTTATTTGTTTTTTGGCGCCAGGCTAAGACCTTTTTATTTAAATGATATTTTAATTGTCGATTTTGTTTATTGGTTTTAAATATTAAGCCAGGATGTAGCTAGATTTTATATGTATGTATATATGTATTTATTTATGATGTTGGAAGCCATCCCAAGGCTTATGTGAATGGGACAGCATACAAAAATTCCAAATAAATACATACACACACACATACCCAGTGTCTGGAAGCAGCCATCCCTGTTCTGTGCCGCTGCACCTGATATGAAAGAAGGCTGCCAGTTGTGCAGACTTCATTTGCAGACTCCCTCTTGGCTCAGCTTGCTTTGCGAGAGCAGGGCAAGCACAAGAGGAGGCCCACAAATGCTGAAGCTGGGAACAGTTGAAGGCAAAAGGAGAAAGGGACGGCAGAGGTCGAGGTGGCTGGATGGGGTCACTGGTGCAGAGGGTGTGGGGTTGGGTGGGTTCCAAGAGGCAGTGGAGGACAGGAGAGCTGTGGTTCCTGGGGTCACAAAGAATCGGGCACGAGCCTGAGACTGAACAAGGCAAGTGCAGCAGCGCTGGGGCGGCGGGGCACTGGTCTATCTCGCTCAGTACTGCCGGCACTGACTGGCAGCCAGGGTTTCAGCCGCAGGTTTTTCAAGACCTATCCGGAGATGCATCGGACCTGGGACCATCAACGTGCAAAACAGCTGCTCCGCCACTGAGCCCCGGTCCTGTTCCCAAGTAGATGGCAGTTATCACAGACGAGGGCATATGCTGTCGACATGCATGTTGCTGCACTGGAAGAGGGTTTACTGTTTGTGTAACCCAGGGAAAGTGTCAGAAACTGCCCAAGGAATTGTGCACATATGGTAGGGAAGGGTCTCTAATTCAAGAGAACAAAAATACAGGCTGGAGAGCAGTGATAATACAGAGGATTATGCGGCAGCACTAGAAGTAGCTTCTCTGCATTGTCTTGCTCATATGCAAGCAACATCAGCTGTTGCAAAGTTTATAGCAGAATGCGGCTGCATTACGCTGGGATTTCACACCACCGAAGAGCGGATAGGGGTGGGCAGGCCCTCCTGCAAAGGGCTGTAGCCATGGGGCTCTCCCAAAAAAACACTTGGGGTCACATCTGCTTACTTGTCCAGGTCATTGGCTTTGGTCTCGTAGCTTTTCAGGACACGGAGAACTTGCACGTCTTGGCTCAAGAAGCATGGAGGAAGCAGGCCGTGAATTCCCAGCTGCAGCCTCTCTTCGAGGGTAAAGGCCATTCCCTGGGAAGGGGAAGAGGAGGATGCCTTGAGCAATGGCAGAGATCTGCTCCCTTCATAAAAAGAGGCACAATCAGATTTCCACTTTGCAGGACCCGCTTTAGGATATGCTGCAAAGAGGAGTATCTTTCTGGGGCCCTCCCTCCCCAGTGCAACCCCTGTGTATCCTCACAAAAACTCCAGAGAAAACCAGCCTGAGAATTTCTGGCTATTCACTGGCCGATGGGTTTCCAAAGTTTCTTGCCTACCCAGTTTCATTTGATTCATAGACCTACCCTGTTTGATACCCTGCATTTGACAATAGCCTAGAAGAATGGACGATCTACTTATGTGCAAGATATACAACAACATGTGAGCCTGGGGTGAGAAAGTCACCCCGTGCTACGAATTTAAAAGATTCAGGGCCAAAGTTGAAATGCTCTAATCTATATTTAGAAATTAGGATTAGGATACCACAGAAGGCAAAGCCGGTTAATTAATGGTTCATCCACACCCTCTTAAATGACATTAATTCTTCAGTAATGTGCATTTTCCTCCAATCATCACAGACCAACAGCAAGGTTTTTGCCCGTTTGTGCAAGCGTTTATCACCGAACTGGGAAGACTTCTTTGACAGGGGGTGTTGTCACACAGGGTAAAGATGGATCCTTCTCTCCCCAGCTGCAGTCCCTGCTGAAATCCTCTCCTCCTGCCCCACGTGGCAATTCAAGATGCTTTCATTGGCCCACACAGGCACTCCCAGTTCTGGGGAAAAGATGTGGGCTGCTGAGAAGTAGGTCCAGAGCTAGAGCTTAATGGTCTCTGCCAGGCAGGGACGAAAAGCTGAATGGGACAACCTTTGGCTGGGCTACACATCTAGATGTATTCCAGGTCCTTGGGCCCACAGCTCCCACATTCCCTCACCAGTTGGCCATGCTGGCTGGAGCTGATGGGGGTTGTAGTTGAAATGCCTGGCCAGCTGCCACAGCAACGCTGGAGGACAGTCCACAGGGGCTGGAGCCCCAAGTCTTTCATTGGCAGCCGTCCATCTGGGTGAGCATCAGCCACACCCTCCGGTTGCCCATCACACCTGCTCCCGTGCAGATGCAGGAACAGCAAGGGGCTGGGTTGACCTGGCAAGCAGCTTCTTGCCCACAGGCGCTTCACCCCCCGCTGCCCCCACCTTGGATCTTTCTTCTTGAGGTTTTGGGGGTTATTGGAAACCAAAGTTGTCTTCTCCCCTGTCCATGCCCCCATTTTTAGGAGCCGGGGTCCTCTAAATCCACACATTTCGGCTTCAGGGAACATATACATTAGTGCTTGCACATTTTTGATCCTCTGAGCCGCCGATGTACCTACCACCACCCCTCGCATCTGCTTATAAAATCAAATTATTAAATTACCATGGCCTTTCCAGCTCATTGTGATATATACATAATGGCCCATAAAATCAGAAACATGAAGAGAAAACAGAGGATTAAAAAACAAGTGCTGGAAATCATTTTACAAGCGTTTCTAGGGAGCAGAAATCAAGGTCAATCTTTCCATGAAAATGTTTTTTGTTTAATTCTTCCTAATATATGATCACATTCTGTTCAGGATTGCTGAAAGTTCTGTTGTTGTGCGGAAGCCACGAGTTACGCCATCCCCCAGTGACCCTTCAAACTGCTCTAATAATGATGATGATGATGATGATGATGATGATGTCCATGTTTCATTTCTTGACTCCCCCAAATGCAGTAACCTAAATGAAAGCAGTATTAGTTTTGGCAGGGCTGCTGCCCATCCCGGTCTGTCTGAGCATCCCCACGGCACGTGCTGGCCTCAGGGAAGGTTGTGTGGGCTGAACCCCCCAGCAAAAGCAGTGCAGCTTCCTTCCTCCAGTGAGAGATACAGATAGTCACTGAGAATGACAGAAATACGCCAAGTGTAACAAAAGGTGAGCCAGAACTGTAGAATGGGATCATGAACACTCACTTAGCAAGGTTCAGGATTTGTGTAAAAACTGATAATAAAGTAAAAATAAAGGAGAGTTAGCGTCAGTGCATCCGGACGGTGGACGATCGTGCAGATTAGCAGGCCTCTAGGTTTTTCGACCCAATGCCCATCTCTAACCCCAGCACATAACACAAGGCCAAGCTTTGATGTTTAAATGTCCACGCCCCTTGCCTTCAGTCTTCCTTAGAACATCCAGACACTGCAACTGTATTTGGGTAATAAGCAACCCCTTCTGTAGTTGTGTCGGGAGAGAACAGAAGATCCTGTGTACATGCATCAGCCTGCAATTCCAGAACTCAAGAGGGGATGGAGAGTTAAGGCAGTTCAAGGAACATAATGGGATTATAACTTAGATAAGCCACCCTGGGAAACTGTTGGAGGGCAAGGCGTATGTCTGGCATATTGCCTCTCCTTCACTCCCCATCTAAAAACCTTTCTTCTACAGAAGGAGCCATCTATAGAAGACTGGTCAGCATTCACTTTATTTATTTATTTGTTGTATTTAGATCCTGCCTTTTTTTTCCAAGGAACGCCAGACAGTTTATATAATTCTCTTCCTCCTCTCAATCTTATCTTTACAACAACAATCCTGTGAGGCAGGTTGGTTGGGAGTCTGTATCTGGCCCAAAGTCACCCAGGTGGCTCCATGGCTGAGCAGGCACTGAGTTCAGATGGCCCGCGTCCCAGTCCCATGCTCTTAACCACGACACCACACTGGTTCTCTACCTATCCCCAACCTGGTACCTTCCAGTTGTGCTGGATTATGTCTTTCAGCCGACCAGCACGACCAATTTGCTGACATCAAAACCAGGAGAAATGGACCTAGTTCTTGGTGGAGGTAGTAATCCGGTAGTTGTAAGTACCTACTAGCAACTTGGAAATGATGAGTCAGTGCTTGCCACAGTTTGACTGAGGGGCAAAAGAAGGCTCACTCTTACTGGCAACCATCAGGAGCAACCTTCTCCAAGCGTCAGGACTTGGAGAAAGCTCTGCCAGCGACATCCAAGCACATGCGGACATGCTACTAGGGAGCTGCCGGGCGATCGGCAAACACAGACTTGTAGTGTTGACTGGGACAAAAGCTTCTGGACCAGATGCAGAGAGTTTGCTTGCCATGCTTACGAGGTATGTCAGGGTCCGGGGTGTGGGCAGCCAGAGACAAGACAAGAGCGACAGAGGCGGCAGGATGAGGGCGACAGAACTTCAGGCAGGATAGAGTCCCAGAGCAGGGTTTAATGGCAAGTCCAAATCGTCGTCATGGCACAGGCTGAGGCCAGGCAGCAGAAGAATGCCTCAGCGCAGAACAAGGGCACAGTCAGGACCGAGGGTTGAGAACCAGGACAAGCAGAGGTGCAGGTACCTTGTCCTGGATAGCGGGGCAGGAGGCACGACAGGGCGGGAGACACGGCAAGCAGCAGGCGAGATGCAGGCACAGTGCCTGACAAGCCAAGTTACATGGAGAGATGCTGAAGAACTGGCAAGATGCAGGAAACCAGAGGAACCCAATGCACAAGGGTCTGGCAAGATGCAGGAGTTGAACCTCAGCTGGCAGACAATCCCGTGTTGCTGAGGCAACTCGCCAAGGCAGCACACAGCTTGGACAAAGGCAGGCACAACAGCAAGACAGCGTGCATTCGGGCGTCCGGTTAAAGCATTTATAAGCCATCTGTTACTGGAGTCTCGGGACAGTTTATAACAAGCAACAAGTAAAATAAGAAATAAAATAAAATGGCGCATCATCCGATAATACAACAATGTAAAAACACATCAAAACCAATTAGACATTAAAATAATGGGAAAATGAAAAGGTTTTCACCTGTGGTTGAAAAGACAAAGTGTTGGCACCAGGCGAACCTCTCTGGGGAGCGCATTCCACAGCCGGGGCGCCACCGCAGAGAAGGCCCTCCTCCAGGTACTCTGTCTCCTAACCTCTTTCAAGGAGGGCTCCTGAAAAAGGACCTCCATCTCAGATTTCAAGGGGCAGGAGGGTATATAGGGAAGGAGGCGCTCCTTGGGTATCTAGGACCCAAGCCATTTAGGGCTTTATAGGTCATCACTGGCACCTTACATTGGCCCCGGACCCGGACTTCAATTGGCAGCCAGTGTAAGTGGTAAAGGACTGGCATTGTATGCGAATACCTGCCGGTCTCCGTTAGTATCCTGGCTGCTCTATTCTGGACCAAATGAAGCATCTGGACTGTCTTCAAGGGCAGCCCCACATAAAGCATGTTACAATACAGGCATGGCACAGTGCAGGCACTACTGCAAGCAGGAAAAGCTCCACTCGCGGGGCCAGTTCTGGAGGAAAGCGCTGGCTCGTACCCAGCTCTTCCTCCAGGGCTCCCAGCTGGCACTCATTAGGAGGCCGAGAGCTCCAACAGGGCCTGGAACCAGTCCTGAGAATATGGTGGTGCTTGCTCTTGTTCTGGCCACCAGAACAGCCCAGATCATGACGCATGAAACCCCTTAGCTGTAGGTTGCTTTACTCTCATCAGACCATTTTTAGTACATTTTAGAATCCAAAAATGGTAGACCCTGGAGCCAGAACTGCTGCTGATGCCAAAGCAAATACGAATGATAGGGTGGCCATGAGGAATCGTTTTTCCTATGATGGTTTCCTAATCAAGCGTTTCAATTCTGACAATGTTGATGCAGAGTGTGATGTGCGTCAGAACAGCCAAGCGTGCAAGGTGAACTCTGATCCCCTTTCACCTCATCATCAAAATACACAACACTGCAAGAATCTAGACAAAAGCGCTCAGCTACCCACAGGAATCACCTAAATGGAACAGAAGAACGGAGCTAAGTAGCTTGTGGGGTCAAAGGCAGCGCCCATAACCTGATAGCAAAAACGCTTTTTGAGTGTTCTACACCGAACAGGCTAAACATGTAATGAGAGGGAGAAGGCAAGCTCTGCCCATCTCCTTCATCACATCCTGTGGTCAGGATCTTGGCTCCATCTGGTAGCCAGATCTAGAAGCCACTGTACTTCCAGGATCGGACCCAGGCCCCGCTGGGTCTCTCAT